CCACCGGAGACACGAACGGCGGCCCTCGCACGATAGCGAGCACTGACGGGGTGATTCCTCCCTGGCTGGCAAAATACGAGGGCTTCGTCCCCGCTCTGTGGAACAACTCAGACGCCAACGCCATCGGAATGGCCCTCTACTCGCAGAGTCCCGCCGTCGACGCCCGGTCCTTGTTGATGTCTGGGATGCGGCCTCCTAAGTACCTTGACAAAGAGGACGTGGATGGCATTTTCCGAAAACTTCACGACTCGCTCCGAGACGAAGTCCTTGACGGCAAATACCGTGACACGGTCGACAACAACGTGGAAGAGTGGGTAGCAAAGGCGATCTTGGTAAGGGGTCTGGCCTTCAACGGGAGCTCCGTCCCCGAATTCTTCGAAGAATATGAGGGATATGCGGCTGAGTGGGGCAGACGCCTAACCACCGCAAACTTCAACGCCAACCGATGCGGTTTTTACACGTCCTACTACATTCTTGAGGCCCATATCATTGGGCTGAGAACAGGACACCTTTCTCCGGTACTCCCCAACGATGTGTCCGGGGAGGGATTCAAGTTCCAGGTGGGGCTGCTCGCACAGCACTGCGGGATATTGCAGGCCATGCGGAGAAAGGCCGGATTCGATCCTGCCGCGCGCCTCAAACGGGCTATGGACACGATACGGGAAGGCATTAAGAAGGGGTATGTCTACACCCTCAACGACCTCAGCAGTATGGACGATCTGATCTACCGGACGTCCACCGTTGCCTACGACACATGCTTGGCCGACCGTCCTCAAACCCAGGATGACATCAAACAGGAGCTGTCCGACCCTGTACCAAGGAAGTACCGCTTCCGACCCCGCGATCGCCATCGACCCGGAATTCGCCTTACACCAGGCCCCGGCGTGAAGGACGAAGACGAGCCCGACTTTGCTGGATCAGCGGAGGATGAGCTGGGATCGGATGGTTCTTCGCACGAAAATGACGAGAAGCCTGACGACCTTGACGAGCCCATGGGCGACGACGAGGAGGAGATCCCTCCCCCTCCGCCACCGCCTCCGGCTCCTCCTGCGCCGCCTGTCCCGGTAGAACCGGAGACTCCCGTGGTGCCGCATGCAGGCGTCAGTTCTGGCGATGCTGTGCCAACTCCTCCTCCTCCTCCCGCTCCCATTGCGGCAGGCGTTACTACGACTGGGGATCCGTTTGAGGAAGAGGACATGGCCATCAATACTCGTGTCCCTGACACCGAGTCCGAGCTGGAGGGTGAGTCCGGCCAACCCAAGGCCAGGAGGACATCTCGTGGTCGGGTCCCCGCGCCCGAGAAAGGGCAGGGGGGCGTTCAGGTCCCGCCTAGCGGGCAACCCAGCTCTAAGAGCATGGCCCAGCCTGCCCGTCCATCCCCGGTCCCCGCGAGAAGCGGTGTGGAAGGTGGGGAGAGAAGGGGCAGGACCAAGGGTTTCTACACCCAGAAGGATCCTTTTACCGGCGAGGACGCGACTCCCCGAGTTCGTCTTCGATCGGGCGGTCCCGGAACTCCTGCGTCCCCACCACGGGATGCCACCGGTTCCTTGGGCGGCCATGGCGGCTATGACCCGCGCGATGACGACAACGACGAGTGGGAGCTTCCCCCGGGTGTGCCTCGGACCACTCGTGCGGCAAATGAGTCGCGGCCCCGCCGAGATGACGATCGGTCGAGGACCGCGCTTGGGGCCCGCGAGGATCGTCGCGGTCCAAAGGGTGAGGGGAAGGGTCGAGGAAAACATCGACCTGGCAAAGGTGGACGCGAGGATCCTGGCCCGCCCCGACAAAGGGATGATCGTGGCAGGGATACCCGCGGAGGCCGACGCGATGATCGCCGACCTCCTCCACGTCATGAGGAGACCTCCGAGAGGCGCGGCCCGGGGCGAGATGAGCGCCGCGGACGTGATGACCCGGGTGATGACCGTCGCGATCGCCACCGGGACCGGCGCAGGGATGACCGACGTCACCAATCAGATCCCCCTCCGCCTCGCCGACCTCCGGCTGGTGACCACAATAGGGGTGGTGGTGAGGATCGCCGTCGGGATGGAGGAGGTGATCGAGGTGACCGTGGCGGACGCCGGAGAGACGACGTGCCCAGGGACCGGGAAGAACCTGGTTCAGGGTGGTAGGCGGGTACCGCAATCAGCATCCGCCTTAGAAGGGCGAGGATAGTACGTGTGTCGCCGAAAAACGCGACCGCGCCGGTCATCCTCTCGCCCAGGCGGCGCTGCTGGGGGTGATGGTCTCCATTGCCCTGTACCGCTGATCCGGCGTTGCTCGTGTCCCTCCCGCACCGCTGCCGTGCGCGCCGGAGACGGTTCCCCTGGCGATCCTGTGTGAGGCTGTGACCGCACTAGAAGTGCCGGGCCGGCCATAGCCGGATATTTTCACACCAATCTCGGAACTTCCGTTTCTACTTTCCTCCCAACTCGACTACTCTTCCAACCGCTCCACGGCGTGCAGTGAGGCGCGGTGATCCAGATAGGATCCCCCTCCGCATGGCATCGTCCCATGACAACTCATGAACGGCACGAGAGGAATCTTCGTATGGTTCCTCCAATATGTCTTTGTTCACTCATGTGGTCCACTCGTCAAATAATCCTGTCGCCCCGATAATTCGGGGTGGTGGCGGGATTTTAACTGGGGCCCAGGTGATGCCGTTTGGCTCACCTCTGAGTTGACACCGGCATTTTTGGTTGGTCCCTTTCGTCGTGAACTCAACTGTCTCGCATCCTTTCTCTCGTCCAGATATCGGATGAGGGGGGTGTGTTTTGTTCACGTGTTGTTTCATCATGTGGCAAAACGGCCGAATGGCCGTTTGGCTCAAGTTTTCCACCTCCCGACAGGTCTTCTGCGGTAAAACGTCAGGCGCCATAGTGCGGCGGTCTTCCCCCTCATTAAGTAGTTTGCTGCTTGGTGCGGGATAGGGCTGGCACTAGGAGGTACCTGGTTTTACGGCGCGGGCGCCCTGGGCTTGGTGGCATACTTCCCGATTTACTATTGCAACGTGTTTCCAAACCTCCCCAAACATTTTCCTCTTCTACCGTCACATCCTCAACCCGGTCATCATCCACAGCTTCATCCGAGTTGTGTTTCCGGGTGCTGTGGGCACTTTGTGATCTACCTTGTGCTCATTTGCTTCCCTGGGCTACTTCGTGTTCGCCCAAAACCGCACTTTGGATCTACTCGCGTTGTCTGGAGTTTGGATGGCAGTCTCAGTGGGATTTCTTAGACAGCGCCTATCGCGTGCCCTCGGTGTGCATCCTTTTCGGAGGGAAGCGCTATGCTCATGCAGCTTCAAGCCACCCAGATGTATTTGGGTGTGCCTCTTTTGGAGGGTACCTTTTTGAAGTTTAACATGAGAGTTCCCCTATTTTGAGATATCGGTTTGTTTGAATATATTATGCAATCAAGTCACATGTTGCTGTTTGGGTTAGGTGTGGGTTGCTTTCCATCCGTGAGGCATGAATTGAATGGGATGCGAGTTGAAAGCTTTTTGAACATTCCTAAACCCACGTGGGTGCATTTCTCTCGCAGCCACCATGATTGAGTGTGCAAGGCAAATCCACAGGAACGGTTCTCGCCCGGCATCATGGCCGCGAGACACACAAGCAAAGTTCTTTGGGCACGTCAGTCGAAGACGGCTTGGAGACTGGCTATGTCTGGGCCCCAATCTACGGCGGGGACTAGTTTCTTTAGAACAGGTCAGGTGTAATTAGTGGGTGAACCCGCTTCTTGGGAAGGTGCGAGCTCTTCAGCAACCCACCGCTTTGAGGCGGCGTTGAGGCACGGGGGCGGCAAAAGGGAACCGTGCAAAAGAACGTAAACAAAAATAGCAGCAAGCAAGGCATAACCAGAGTCCAAGGGCAAACAGCTGCTACATCTAGCCCCATTCCGTGCAGCAAATGCTGATGGCAAAGCTCGACAACTAGCCATAGAGCCGGGATAGCGGACTCGCAGCTCCGCCAAAGGGGCTCCTGTGAACCAGGCCAGTCTTCATGTAGAAGCTTCCCTTCGGGCGGGTGGACCAGTTGAGCCCTGTTTGTTCATTGGGTTTCCCCGGGCAAGAGACCCCTCGAGTGAAGTGGTTGGCCATCCCTGGCTGGTTGCCTTACAGGAGCACAACAGCCATTCATTTCTTGAAGCCAAAGTCTTTCTATCATGACTCCTACCTGCAACCCTTTGAGTTTTGGAGGGGTATTTTTTCCCGCTTTGTTTTCTTCAAAGGTGACCCCTCCTGAAAGCAAGGGCACGCAAAAAACGGGCTGGGTTCGGGTTTCCACAATGCTCCGTTGGCCGAGGCAGGAGTGCGACAAGGCGCTCCAGCACAGCTCGGAGCAGCAGCAGGCAAAAGAAGGTTCACGTGTCAGACTTTCGCCAGTCCTTGCAGGAAAGGGAAACAAATGGCTGTGGTTCTCAAAACCGTTTTGGGATCTTATTTTGGTCCCGGTGAATTCACAGCCCATTTTAGGTTTCCGATTTTAGTGGGGGATTGAATTGGATGTTCACTGGGTACGATTTAGTAAGACAATGGGGCTTCATAGAACCACCCTTGTTTACTTGAGGATTGTCATCATCTAAATTGGATCAATCATTATTTTCATGGGTTTTTTTCACCTAAGGAGATGCCATGACACGCCTTTTCATGTTTTCCTCTATTTTTCCGGGTTCCCTTTGCAAAGGTTCCATGCAACCAACTCGCGGACAGACGCGCTCCCATTCCAGGCGCTCCAGGATCAGATCTCGATGCTGCAGAGCTCCTCCCAGGCCGCGAAAGTGGGGGTCTCTTGGCGGGTCTCTTGGCGGGTTTCTTGGGGGAAGCCAAAAGGAGAACCGCCCAAACATGCGGGGTCCGCCTATGTTGACACATAGCCAAATGCGTTTGCGGGGATAATTAACAGTTCCAGTCAAGATTCGAAGAGCACATGATTAGGCCGCGCGCGTGTGTGTCATTGCGACTTGAGGTCGGTTTCATTGCGATTTGAGGTCGGTTTTTGTGGAGCAGGTTGGCTCAAGGGAGCAGGTTGGCTCAAGAGGCACCATCTTTGCTAGCTTCCCAAGTGGGTGTTGAGAGTTGAGCGCGGTTGGGGGCGATGATTGAAGGAACTTACGTCCAGGTCAAGGGCCTCAGAGCCCGTGCTGAGCTCAATGGGCGGTCTGGGAGGCTCCTACGATGGATTCACCCATCGGAACGCTGGGAGGTGCAGCTGGAATCAGAGGACGGCAGCCAAGTGCAGGGCACCTTGTCTGTGAAAAAGCAGAACCTTCATGAGTTTGTTCCTGAGTTGGAAACAACCTACATGTCAAGGTTGCTGCCTCGGAAACTCCACGGAGCAGCCGAAACTCCATGCTTCCCGCAGGAGTTTCGTGAAGCATGTGAAAGGATGAAGTCATGGCCGAAAGGCCTGTCTAAGGAGAGGGCCCTAGAGTTCCTACTGAACGGCTTCATGGCAGCGACAGAGTTGCGATGGCAGCGTACTTTGAGCGGGCAACACAGCCCTCAGGCAGGCAAGACCTGCTTCAGTGGCTTGCAGATCGGAGATTTGCTCCCTGAATATGAGAAGCAACATGACTTCCACCATTTCCGCACCAACTTCAGCAACTCTCCTCCCAACAAAGTGTCTATGTGCTCAAACTCAACATATGTTGCAGCCGGATTCAACGACCTGCGCTTGTTGCTTGATGCCAGCATGGAGGAGGGAGCTTCTGGCGTTCATTTTGTTGGGATTGATCTCAACGACTTCGCAGTGACAAAATCATTGGTCATTGCAGAGATGCTCAAGGACACGAGCGTGCCAGTGACCCACATTTTGCAGGTATGGTACTCGTCCACTTGGTCCAAGGGGACCGTTTCGTCCTTCAAGAAAACCATTATGGCTATGCAGTCCTCACTGAGCTCGGGAGTAAGGCAGTTGTTAGAGTTTTGGAAAGGCGCTGAAGCGCCCGATCTCCAGAGCAGTCGGCACCAGTGGTTGCAGTACTTTGTCAGTGAACAACGCATGTGGGATGCATGCACAATTGCTAGTTTTGTCCGGGCGCGCGATCGATGGGCAGCCTGCAAGTATTTTGTCACAGGAGAAGTATGCGATGAAAATTCGGAACAAGTGGAAGTTGGCAGCATCACAATGTGGGCTTTACCTCCACATTTCAGCTGCTCCCTTCCTTTGCACAATGCTGACTCGATTTTTGCCACAATGAACTTGGAGGACTACCTTCCCGTGCCAACAGACGGAGCAGACATCGTTCAACTATTTGTTGAAGATATTCTGAAAAAACTCGGCCGTGTACGAAATCTGCTGGTTGATGGTAGGCTTGACATTGATATTTGGCAGGAGGAGGTGACTTTAGACAACTGCCAAGTGATAAAACGAATCTCTTCCCTGGCCCCAGCAGGCATCAGCTGGTCGAACATTCTCGACTACACAGATCTGGCTTCGTTTCATGCCATAGCCACGCGGTGTTCTGCAAAGGATTCTTGTACTACACATTACGCCTATTCCATGGAGTGGGTTAAAGATGTCTACGGCATCACCCTGGCAGATTGGTGTAGAGGGCGCCAGGCCTTGCGTGCATCCTTGCTCATCGAGTTGGAGACTGGGAAAGCACTGCAGGCATTTGCAAAAGAAACACAGATCCACAGTTTGCTCGCGTTGCCGGGTTTCAGTTGCCCCAGCAGGATGTGGATGTATGTCACAGCCATGCATCTATATCCTTCCTGGGTCGAGAGGTTTGTGAGCGTGAGTTCAGCAGCACCGGCATCCGTCACCTTGCGCTCCTTGGGTATTTGCTTGCCCTGCATAATGCATAGGCGCTTTCCGACAAACATTTACCTGAAGTGGAGCTATGGACACGAGTCATCAGGGGGTACGCAAGTTTCACAGGCCATTCAGAGCTTCGACGCAACTCTTAGTGAGGTAGTTCGAAATCTACTTCCCGCCAAGCGTTGCCAATGAAGGTGGACGGAGAGACTTATTATTATACCTCGCGGCGCTTGACGGAAAAGTAAGTTTTTTTTTTGGGCTCCTGCAATTGTTGTCACATGATTATTTTTAGTAGTTTCGATAAGTATTTGTTGGAGCTTTGTTTCCTCTGGTTTCGAAAATGACAGATGTAAATTGGGCCGTGTGTTTGCTTATAACCGCTTCAAGTTGATACATGTATATTCCGAATCATGACATTTAAAGAAACGTAGATAGATAGATAGATAGATAGATAGATAGACAGACAGACAGACAGATAGATAAATAGATAGATAGATAGAGAGACGGACACAGACAGACAGACAGACAGACAGACAGACAGACAGACAGACAGACAGACAGACAGACAGACGGACGGACGGACGGACGGACGGACGGACGGACGGACGGACGGACGGACGGACGGACGGACGGACGGACGGACGGACGGACGGACGGACGGACGGACGGACGGACGGACGGACGGACGGACGGACGGACGGACGGACGGACGGACGGACGGACGGACAGACAGACAGACAGACAGACAGACAGACAGACAGACAGACAGACAGACAGACAGACAGACAGACAGACAGACAGACAGACAGACAGACAAGACAGAGAGACAGGTACGTAGGTAGGTAGGTAGGTAGGTAGGTGGGTGGGTAGGTAGGTAGGTAGGTAGGTAGGTAGTTAGCAGCATCATAGTTTTCATTTTGGCAACTATGGCAATTCTCATTAGTGTCACCAGTCATGATTCTGAGTGTGTTGCTATTGTTCATTTACGCAAAGGCAGACATACCCGAACCGGACATCGCACGGCTCCCCTTGCCCACCTGGGCCAAGTACATGGTTCTGGGTGAACCATTTTTGTGCCAGGTTTTGATCATGACTCACACGTGCCTGTGGTTTTTCAAAGCCCTTCTGTTAGCTGTTTGTGGAAGCATGCGGGTTCCGTGGAAGCACCGCAGGCCATAGATGCCGCAGAGGCGGGGAATGGGACACAATCGGAAAAGCTGGGTGTCCGCCTCGGCTGCGGTCGAGGGTGGAGGGCATGGCTTGTTGCTTGTAGCTTTTGGCTTTATGGCTATTTGGCAGGGGATCTTTGGACTTTAACTTTTTGGTGAAACAGTGGATCTTTCATTGGACCCACACAGGTAAACTTTTGGCAGAGGGGCAACAGCTTGCAGATTTTTGAAAGAGATGTTTTTCACCTTTAGGGGGCCGAAAGGCAAGCCCTGGCTGATCACTTGTGTTGCGCAACAATCAATTACTTTGAGGCGGATGACATTGGGCGCGCGTTCACCCCCATGTGAGTTGGGAAGGACTTGCACGTGGTTCTTCTACGTCGGTACTCCGCATGGCCTGCCCTTGTTTGCGCAGGCCATGCATGGCATCGAGATTTCCATGAGCAAGGCGCGCAGGAGGGAGGGCAGGGACCTTGGCCAGTGAGAGGTTTTCATGCTTCTAGAGTTTGTTTTATTGCTTGAAACAGCTTTCATGAGTCCGCGATACCGCCTCCAAGAGCATTTTGCTGCATGCGCTTGACGAATCAGGGAGGTTTTTTTCCTTCAGAGCTGCATCAATTCTGCATGCTTAGATTCTCAAATCTTTCACTGAGACTGGCTTGAAAGTCTAAGTGGGTTTCTTTTCTTTTTGGAGCAGGTTTAGCGGGGAGTTCCACCAGAGTTGCGCGGCCCCTCCTTCAGGTGAAGCACAGGTTTCATCAAGTTGCCCGAGCATTTTCTTTAGGATCCCCTGCGACGAACATGTGCAACACGTTACTGTTGCTTTGTAACCATGACAGATGTGGAGCTCGGGCATTTCGGACAAGTGGCCGGAGGGTGACGGGGGCTTGGCAACCGCACGGCATTGCGCCGAATCTTGGTGCGTTGGGCCTGCTATGTACGCCAGCTGTCTGACTTTCAGGGTTGTGGGGGCACTACCCACTCGCGGTTGATCCACTGGCGTGGCTTGCTGACAAATTCCTAGGTCCCGCAATAGTGCCCTTTTACCCTTTTTTCCCCAACAGCTGAAAGCTTTGGGGTCTCAGCCCAGATAGGCTCTGGTCCGGGGCGGGCGGCCCTGAGGTGGGGTTCCACGAACGAGGGTTCCACCAGGGTTCCAGGTCGGGGTGGTTTGAGGTAAGGTTCCACAGGCACCAAGGTTTTACCGGGCTGCGGGGTGGTCCGAGGTTCCACGAGGGCTGCGGGGGTGGACCGGGGTTTGAGGGAACACCAGGGTTCCACCAGGGTTTCACCAATTTCTGCGAGGGCTGCTCCACGAGGGACTAGAGAAGAGCTGTGGGAATTTGCATAGCGGGGAACCTCTCCAGGTCGGAATCTAGGTCCTCCAGTTGAGAGGTTAGAACAAGTACCCTTTTTCTGTAGTCTAGTTTCGTAGGGGAACCTCCCCCAATAAGCTCAGGCGATATCCCCAACAGCACCAACCTCACCGCCGGTGCTTTTTCAAGCAAAGCTAAGAGTGACAGCGCATCGCGCCCTGATCGGGGCCCGACGGCTCAATCGGGGCCCGACAGCGCAACGCGGCCTGACGGTGCAAGCGGGGCCCAATCGGGGCCAACGGGCCGAATGGTCCTGTGGAACCCCAGCCACCCATATTATACCACGCCGGTTTTTTTTCGGATGCGGTACCAGCTTGGTACGGATCGGGGCGCGATGGCGCAATTGGGGCCGATCGGTGCAATCGAGCCCCAACGGTGCAATCGGGCCCCGACCTGGGCGGTGAACCTCGCACGTTCCCGTGGAGCCCTCATGGAACTCAGCGGGAAACTTTAGCTTTTGCAGAACCTGGTGGAAACCTCATGAAGCGTTTTTGGAACCTTACCCCATAGCCCTCGCTGCCTCGTGGAATTCTTGGAGCCCAAAGCCGACCAAGTAATACTCAGCAATGCCAAGCATTTACTCTGCTGCACACTGAGTCCCGCAGCGACGTGATCTGATTTGCCACGAAGCCAACATTTCGGGCTGCGTTGCCTGAGCAAGTGAGCAAGTGACAAAACAGTGAAAGTGTGCTGAAAACCCTTGATTTCGGTTTTGCTTAGTGTTCCGCCCATGAGCAAAGCGATCTTCTGAGCCCTCAATTTACTGCTCGGATGGGCTTTTCAGACGGCGGGCGCACGACTCACTGCTTCCCTCCAGGGCAAGCCACGGAACCTTGCAGAACATGTCTGGAACCCTTATGGAACCTTGTGGAGTTTTGTGGAGCCCGTGTGGAATCCTTGCGGAACTCTGTGGAACCCTGTGAAACTTCAGGGCCGCCCCGGACCATCCCACAGCCCTCGCACAACCTCGTGAAAACCTCATGGAACGTTACCTCAAACCACCCGGGACCACCGCAGCCCTCGCAGAACCTCGTGGAACCCTGCTAGAACCCTGGCAGAGAAGCCTTACCTTGCAGAACGTTGCAGAACCTGGTCAAACCCTGATGAAACCCTGGTGCACCCCGCGGCCCTTGCAGAACCTGGCGGAACCCTGGTGGAACCCTCGTGGAACCCTGGTGGAACCCTCGTGGAACCCTGGTGGAACCCTCGTGGAACCTTACCTCAAACCACCCCGGACTGCCAGGCGCAGCGGCAGGCCTGGGTCGACTCGATGGGGGGGACAAAGTTGACGGGTGGCTCGTGTGGCTTTCCTGCCGCGGCCACAAGAGAGAGAGGGGCGTCCCTCTCTCTTGTGGCCACTGGCTTGCAAAAGTCGGAAGGAGGGAGTGTGATTGTCAATATTCCGATTGACAGCTTCTTGATTCATCAGCATGAGTGAGTTGCCAAACCGCAGACTGGAGGCAGATAGGGACCTCTTGTTATTTGGTCCTGGGTTCGTATTTTTTGAGGTTCCGCCTTGAACTGATCATCAGGCGACAGCTTCATCAGAAGTGGGTCAGTGGGGTAACAATCATGGAGTGAAGTGGGCTAGGGGGGCTTCTGCAAAAGCACAGTCGTACCCCTGTCATCTCTCATGATTGTTGGACGGCACCGTCACAGGTCACATTCCACATTGAAGGATGCCCGGGAGGACGTCCTGGCTTGTAAATCCTTCTTCAGAGCGGGCCTGCAGGTTAGTTCCGTACTGCCTTGGATCTTGGTTTGACAGGGGTTGTGGCAAGGCCTGTATGCTTTGCCGAAAATCGAGCACTCCTTTGGGTGGTTCGAAGGGAAAGCGAGAGAGCCTTCTTTTTTCTCGGCTTTTCAGGGTTCGCTCTACCGGAACACCTTTCGGCTAGGGTTCTGACGCTCTACATCCACGCGGACCATGGGCCACACTTGAAGAGGGACGTTGTTTTTATTGCTTACCTTTCCTACCTAGTCTTTCCTCCCTGTTTGATGTCCTTTCCTAGTTTCCCTTTACCATCCACTGTTATAAACCTTGTGTTCCCTCCCAATTTTGCTTGAAACGACCTTCGGATGGTGAGCTTGACCAGGTGAGCTTCCTGCAATTGGCACAGGCGCCGGAGGCGGCAGGGGTGCGACTGGGCCATGAGACGATGCACTTTTTCACCAGATCAACTTCCAAATGCTGGAAGGCTGGATATGCTGGATGCTAGGATGCTAGGGATGCTGGTGATGCTGGGATGCTTGATATTGTGCGGACGTTGGTGATGCTGGTAATGTAGGTAATGCAGGGATGCAGGGGATGCTGAATGCCAAGCCACATGAGGGGAGGGCATCAGGACCACAATGCGAAGTCTGGGCAGTCGTTTTGAAAGGGCTTCTTCTTTTGTATGTACAACGTACCAGAGCTGGACCCATACCGATTGATATTTGTTGGAGTTTGTTGGGTCTTGTCAAATTCTGAGTGTGTTTGCTGTGTTGTTGTTTGTTTCTTTGTTGCTTTGTTGCTTTGTTTCTTCGTGTTGTTTCTTTGTTGTTTCTTGTTGTGTTTCTTCGTTTCCTCGCCTCTATGTGTCTTTGTTTCTTGCTTCGTTTGGTTTGGATTGGTTGGGTTGGGTTTGTGCGTTTGTGCGTTTGTGCGTTTGTTTGTTTGTTTGTTTGTTTGTTTGTTTGTTTGTTTGTTTGT